GCCTGCGGAGCCAGGACCCAGCCCCTTGCCTGCCTTCCTCGGCAAGCTATGGGCGCTGGTGGGTGACCCAGGCACCGACCACCTGATCCGCTGGAGCCCGGTGAGGGCTGGGGCCCCTCGACACTCCCAGTGGTCCCCGGGGTCCCTCCAAGTCAGTGAATACCCACGCCCACCCAGCCTCTGCCTGGGACTGAGCTGTGGGCCCCTCAGTACAGGCAGTTCACCTTGGAGGGGGGTGTGTGAGCTGAGGATGAGGCGGCTTCTGGGGCTGAGGAACGATTTGGGCTCCTCCTGGAGACCTAGAGCCCCAGTGATTGCCTGGGCCACTTAGTTACCACCCTGTCCCATTGACAGATAGGAAAACGGGCCAGGAGAAGGTAAGAGCTGGCTCCAGCTAAGTCAGCGTCACATCTCAGCCCTAGCTCAGGTTCACCTCGTGGTCCGAGGTGGACCCCGGGTTGGCCTCTGCTACGCCTGAGAACTGAGTCTGGGTTGAGTTAGTTAGGATTTCCTGAGGCGCCATAGGATCAGCTGGTCCTGCCCTGGCCTCGTTCCGTACGCCTATGAGCAGCAGGCTCAACCCCAGAGTGAGTGCGGGCGCCACAGTGGTGTTCCAGTGTCCGGGGCGGGGGTGGGGGTGAGGGGTCGCGAAGCTCACGGACTCTGGTCTCCACCCGCACCGCGCTGCCGGGCGGAGGCGTTCTCGGTAGAGCGGGACCAGTTTCCTCGTAAGTGATCAGAGCCGCTTTGCCAAGGAAGTTCTGCCCCAGTATTTCAAGCACAGCAACATGGCGAGCTTCGTGCGCCAACTCAACATGTGTGAGTCCCCTCTAGCCGCCGGGCAGGGAGCGGGTGTGGGTGATTTAGTGCCCAGGAGGAGCTGCTCAGGTCCCACACCCTACTTCCTAGATGGTTTTCGGAAGGTGGTGAGCATCGAGCAGGGTGGCCTACTTAGGCCAGAGCGCGACCTTGTGGAGTTCCAGCACCCAAGCTTCGTATGCGGCCGAGAGCAGCTTCTGGAGCGAGTGCGGCGCAAGGTGAGGGCGGCCTTTTGAAACCGGTAAACCCAAGTGGGGAGTAGGGACTGGCTGCCCTGTGTTCTAAGGTGTTCTAAGTGAATGTGTCCCGCTACTGTCTTCAATCCACAGGTGCCCGTGCTGCGCTCCGATGACGGTCGCTGGCGGCCTGAAGACCTGGGGCGGCTGCTGGGCGAGGTGCAGGCTTTGCGGGGAGTGCAAGAGAGCACAGAGGCGCGGCTGCGGGAGCTCAGGCAGTGCGGGAGCCGTGAAAGCAGGGTGGAGGGGGGTCTGGTTGAGAGGGTACTGGCTGCCGGGGGCTTCTGGGCAGCCCCTTCCTCTCTTGGGCCGTGGCACCTCCTTCCAGACAATTGGACCCTTTGGACTCTAGGATGGATGACCATGGGTTCCCATGGGACCCCGACCCTGCCATTCCATGGAGGGGTAAACCCTCAGAAGCCTTAGCACCTTCCCATCCCTTCTTTCAGGCAGAATGAGATATTATGGAGGGAGTTGGTGTCACTGAGGCAGAGCCATGGTCAGCAGCACCAGATCATCGGCAAGGTGCTCTCTTCCCTATCTCATTGCTCCCTCCTACTCCTGAGCACCCTTCCTTCCGCCCAGTCCTCCTCCAGCGGCCTTGCTGGAGTGGGGGCGGGTCCTAAGTATGAATTAACCTTTTGCTTTCCCTTCAGCTGATCCAGTGCCTCTTTGGGCCCCTGCAGGCAGGGCCCAGCACGGCAGGAATGAAAAGAAAGCAGTGAGTGAGGAAGCCAGGGATATTCACACCCACACTCCCACTTCCAGGACCCTTGCCCCAGGACTCCTGGCAGCAACCCATCTCCTCCTTCACCAGGAGCCCCCATTCCTTTCCCTGCCTGTACAACCATCCTGACCCTTTCTAGGGCTTCCCCCCAACTCTACCATCTCGTACCCCCACATCCAGATCCTCTTGTTCCAGGACCTTACCCCAAATTCCCACCCAACAGTCCTTTTCCCTCCCCCAAAGCATCCTAACAACAGAGGGCTTGAGGCCCCAACCATCCTCTCTCACTTCCCTCTCTCCCCTCAAAGGGCCCCCATCTCTGGGGGGAGCCCCTTCCATTCCAGCATGTGACCTAAGCCTGGCAACAGGCCTTGGCTCTGCTGACTTGGCTGCTGGGGCCTGAGGGAGGGAGGGAGAGAGGGAAGTGCAGGCTGAGGGGCATAGGGGCTGATTCTGCCCACCCCAGCCTGAGCCCTGTTCATCTGCACAGGTCCCTGATGTTGGATGAAGGGAGCTTATGCCCAGCACCTGCCAAATTTAGCATCTGCCCCCTTCCTGGTGCCCTTCTACAGGACCCCTACTTTATCCAGTCGGTAGGTTTTTTTTTCCTCCCCTTTCCCTAGGGCACAGCTGGGTTTATGGGAAGCTTATTTCTTTTCTCCATTCCCCCAAAAGATGAAAGCCATCCTTCCTACTGCCAGACTCAGGCTCCCCAGCGTGGACTAGCCTTCCTTCTCAAACCTTGTCCTTTAAACCTGGTTTAGGTGGGTGTTGCTTGGGTTCTGGCTCTCCTTGTGGCCTGAGATCAAAGGCTGGGCCTTGCCTTTTTACTTACAGCCCCTCCCTGGGACTACCTTGGGCCTTAGCCCTCACAGGACCAGAGGGCCCATCATCTCTGACATCCCAGAAGACTCTCCATGCCCTGAAGGGCCCAGGCCTTCTCCTGGTGGTAGCAGGAGGTAAAGGGGGCAGGGGCTGCTCTGGGGAACATCCTGGAGGAGGGCCTAGCAGCCCAGATGGCTGTGGGGATAGGGAAAGAGGTCAGTGTCCAGGGTCTGGCTGAAGCTTTTCTCTGGTACAGGGAGAAGAGCCTGGCACTGCTCAAAGAAGAGCCAGCCAGTCCAGGGGGGGATGGAGAGGCTGGGCTGGCCCTGTCCCCAAATGAGTGTGACTTCTGCGTGACAGCTCCACCACCACTGCCTGTGGCTGTGGTACAGGCCATCCTGGAAGGGAAAGGGAGCTTCAGCCCCGAGGGCCCCAGGAGTGCCCAACAGCCTGAACCAAGGGGCCCCAGGGAGGTACCTGACAGGTGAGCAGAGCTCTTTCTTGATGGTAAGCGCTGAGGGTCACTTTCATTCACAGCCCAAGAAACTCCCCTGCCTTATCTGCCTCTTAGTGGTTGAGGGAGACATTGGACACTTGACTCTGTGACACTGACCTGAGTTCTCATAGTGTGCTCCTAGAAGCACCTGCATCAGAATCCTCTGGACGTTGGAAACTTCCAGTCATCACCTCTGTGGTATGACTCAGAAATCTACATTTTAAATGAGTTCACTGGAGTGATTATAATGTACACAATAGCTTAAAAACCACTGATATTTACACTTATAGGGAGGGGAACACCAAGACCTCAGGTCCCAGGTAGGAAGCAGAGGCACTTTCAATGTGCCCCTTTATAGGGGATGGGGATGTAAATCCTGATACCCCCAGGTTCCTTGAGGTGATGGGCACTGTAGGCTGCAGGCTGACAGCCGTTCTTCAGGTACAGGGGGCCTCTGGACCTGGAGCAAGGGAACCGGAGCCCAGAAAGTCAACTGCCTCCAGTGCTGCTTCGGCCTCCACCTGAGGCGGTAGAGCCTGGAGGGCCCATGGATGTGAGTACCCCTTCAACAGGGGGGGGCAGGGACAGGGACATAGGACCCATCAGGTCAGGAGGGCACTGCTGACCCAGAGCTTTTCCCAGGTGCTGGGCTCTAGCCTCCAAGGGCGAGAATGGTCCCTCTTGGACTTGGACATGGCGTTGTCTTTGGTAAGATAGGGGTGGGGCAGGGCCACACCCTCTGGTCCTTGGCATCTCAGTGAGCCAAAGCCATGTCTGAGGATGGCCCCAGTGAACCCTCAGCTCTTCTCTTCAGCTACTGGGCTCCTCCCCAGCTGCTTCCTGGGGTTTTCCCATGCAGGTGCAGCCCTTGGTTCCAGAGAGGGGTGAGGCTGAACAGGCAGTCAAAAGGCTGAATTCTCCAGGTCCAGGTAATGGTGGTGGGATTTGGGGCCTGGGCTGAGCTATCAAGATTGGATGGGATGGGCAGTTTGAGCTGTGCAGGGAATTTCCCTGGATTCAGGCTGCCCTGTAGAGGCTTCTGAGCCACCCATCCCTTCACTATTGAGTGAGAGTGGGGAGGTTAAGAATGAGAGCTCCTCTTGACTGAGCAGAAGTCAAACTCTGAGGAAGGCTCTCCTCGAAAAAAAGGAAAAATGCTCTTCTGATGACAGCCTCACTCCTCCTAGGAAAGGACCCTACACTGGGGACTCCACTCCTATTGGATATCCCGGCAGATTTGGGAGGACCGGCCCTTGCTGTGCCAGGGGATTTAGCCCTTTATGGCATCCCTGAGAGCCAGAGCTCCTACCTGGGCCCAGGGGCCAGTCCCAACCCCTAAAACCCACAAACCTCCAAAGCACCCTGGCCAAGGAACTAGTCTGCAACAGCATACCCATTTTGGCTTCCTGGTGCCCCCTGGGGGAGTGAGTGAAGTTCCTTCTACTGCCAAGTGCCCCCACCCCTCCCACATAAACTGCATTTTTTTTTCCTGTTTCTGGTCTCTTTTCTCTGTCTACCAGGGAGCACAGGAGCCATGGGGAGGGAGTGACTTTGCATTCTGCATTCGTAGAAGCATTCAAATCCTAGGACTTTAAATCAAGAATCCCTGGAGAGTGGGAGTGCTTGGGGAGCTGACACTAGCTGTCCTGCCTGAATCCAGGGTCGTTGGTCCAAGGCCACTGCAGTGGGGCTCCTAGGTCACATTCACTTCCAAAAAGCATGTTCTCTGTAACCCTGGACAAGTCAGTCCCCTTCTCTGAACCTCATCTGTGATGGGAAAGAGGGGAGGGGTCGACAAAAGGACAGATAAAAGCTGCCTAGGAACTGGCAGGCCTGAGAGGGTGCAGGACGGGTGGGGCTGCTGCTCAAAGTGTACCCTCCCTGGCTCATGTCCGGTGCACTTAGGGTCCGGGACAGGGGAGAGACCTATGTGTCTGTTCCCAGCCGGCTCAACCCATATGGGCCGGGCTCCAGGGCCTGGAAGAACGCCCTCTCCCTCTCAGTTCCCCGCAACCCTGTACGCCCCGCCCCCGTCACAGCTGCTGTCCAGTCCCCACCCCGCTCTCAGCACTTTCTGCACTGTCATCTCCTGCCCTACCGAGCCTCGACCCGTGAGTGAGGCCGCCTGAACTGCGATCCCACTCTGCCCGCAGGGGGAGGGAAGGGAAACAGAGTGGGCAGAATCCGTGCCTCTCCGTTCGGTCCGCAGCAAGCTCGCAGGTCTGTGGGCCCCGCCCTTCCGCGGGACTGAAGCTCTGGGACTGGGTGGAGGGGAGGTCGGGGTACCCTTGCCGTTGCGCATGCGTAGAGGCTCCCAAAGCGCCCAGGACCCTCTCCATAAAAGCTCAAGCAGGCAGGTAAGGATAGGGGCAGAACCGGGTCCCTCGCTTCGAAACTGGCGCTCTGGGCAGCATCTGGCCATGGCCCTTGAAAAATGGGCCGCAACAAAACTTCAGTGTTTACTTTAGAGCTAAGAGAACCTCAAGGTGATGCCAAATCAGTCCGAGTCTCTGCTCCCTAGAGAAGACAAAGGGCAGGACTTGGGCTAACAGAGGCTAACAAGAAAGCAATTTAAGGAGCAGGGAGGAGGAGAGACCAACTTAGTCTGATCCCTTCCTTTCCTGGACAGAGTAGGAGCTGACTCCCTCTCTTTTAGCCTCCACTGTAGAAAGCAGAGTGTCCGTGTGTGCACATTGCAGCAAGGTCTGTTCATGCAGTAGGGAGGGCATATACTGTTCACTGGGATGGATGCACAGAAGAAGCCATCTATCTTTGAACAGTCAGGCATGGGGATGGACAAGGGAACATTTGAGACTTGGAGGCTCAGTCCACAATGCGGAAGGAGGGAAAGGGTGTTCCCGGCCAAGAGAAGAGTATCAGCAGACATTCCAAAGTACCAGGGACATAGTGTGTCCTCCCAAGACTGAGAGGTAAGAAGGCAGTGAGGAAGATCCAGGCTATCTAGGGTGGTGGGAGGTGGCAAGAGTAGATAGACTAGATAGCTTGGATTCCCTTTGATGGGCCATGGGGACTGGAGTTGGATGGTTAGGCCTGACATTTTTGGACAGGAGACCTCCTTATAGTTCAGGTTTTACTTGGGCTCCCTGAGCTTGTCTCATCTATAAAATGGCAACAGTAAATCCTACCGCCAGAGAGTTGCCAAAATCACTACATGGAAGGGAAGTGAGAATGGGAGGTCCTCGGAGGGACTTACAGGAGATGAGGAGATGATGGCGATACTGAGAGGCAGAAGTTAATTGGAGATTCTCTGGGAGGAACTGTCATAGATGGGATGTGAAGGAGATAAAGGAACAGTGTTCTCCAGTCTCTGTTTTGTGGCAAAGAGGAAGGACGGGATTGATGCTTGAATAGGAGGCATTGAGGGGTGCCAGGGTATGAAGTGACCAACCAGGGTAAACATAATATGACACTACAGCAGCAGTGGTGAACCTATGACCCATGTGCCACAGCAGACTGTTACCACTGAAGGCTCTAAAAGGTTTGCCATCACTGCAGTAGGGGATACTGAGAGAGACCTGGGAGGCTAGGACCAAACAGATGAGAAAAGAAGATAGGCAAAAAAAACTCTAAAAGGAAGAGGAGACCTGGAAGGATGCTGTATGAACAAAGACAAGATAGGGTGAATGGGCAGAGATGGGAGTGGTCCAGGGCCTGAGCTCTTTACCTCTTAATGTCAAGGGCTGCTCCAACTGGGTTAGGTCACCAAAGGGAATGGGCTGAGGTTCTTGGCTGGTAATAAATGAATAAAACAGATTGATTTCTACCTAGTTCCTATTAGTTGGTAGAGACATTCTTTCAAAATGGAGCTCCATGGAGAAAAAAAAAAGTTTAACAAGCATTCCTTGGTAGCTTTCATAAACTGGACCCTGTATATTTCAGATCAAGCAGTAAATGGCTGTGAGTCATTCCCAGGAAGCAAGAAGATAGACCTGAGGTGATGTCAGATCTTAGTCAAAAGTAGGACTTCAGGGGCCAGCGATTTAGCTCAGTGGTTCCACCAGCTGCCTCACAAGGGCAAGGACCTGAGTATGATCCCTGGTACAAAAAAAAAAAAGTAGGACTTCAGAGGATTAAGGTATGTAGGGAACCAGGACGAGCCATGGAACCACACTGGGTTGCAATGTGGTGTTGGTGGTGAGGGTGCAGGAGCAGGCCTTGCCCTGGAAAGTTGGACCTTAGGGTCAATTTAAGGTGACAGAAGCAAAAGGAGGCTCTTAGCTGTTTGTACTCTGAATGCATAGGGGACTGGAGGAGAGATTATAGAGGCAGGATGCCTTGATCTAGCATTCTTCAGGGACCCAGCTGGAGGTAAAAGCTAGACTAAGGTAAGTACACAGTTAAGTTGAGGAGAGAAATATTTAGCCAGCTAGGAAGGACCACTGTAAACTACAATCTTAGGATCAACCCTAGGTTATTCTGTTTGTTGAGATGGGAAAGAACTTAGATTGGATAAACTAGGTCTGAAATGGTCACAGAGTCTATAGGCAGCTAGAGCTCGGGAGGGAGGTCCAGGCTGGGGAGAGTCAGGCTGGGGAGAGCTGACGTTTAGAAGGAGGAGCCTGAGGAGGCAGGACAGAAGCTGTCGGGAAGGCTACAGTTCTGTGCTCTGTGATGCAACCTGCAGGTCCTGTACTGCAGACCTGTCTGGCTGCCAAAGTGGAGGGGAATTTAGGCCACAGCACAGCTGTGCGCTTGGATCCAGCTAGCCCAGGCCCTTACTACCTCTCTGCTCCTCCCGGGTGCAGTCCAGACAATGGGCAATGTGCAAGAGCGGCCATCGGAGACTATCGACCGCGAGCGGAAACGCCTAGTAGAGATGCTGCAGGCGGACTCTGGGCTATTACTGGACGCACTGGTGGCACGGGGAGTGCTCAACGGGCCAGAGTATGAGGCGTTGGATGCACTGCCTGACGCGGAACGCAGGGTGCGCCGCCTGCTGTTGCTGGTGCAAAGCAAGGGCGAGGCCGCCTGCCAGGAGCTGCTGCGCTGTGCCCAGCAAACCATGCACGCGCCAGACCCTGCCTGGGACTGGCAGCACGTGGGTCCAGGTGAGTGGGCGTAGGGTGTGGCCTCTGTCCGATCCGGGGCGTGGCCTGGGGTGGAGCAAAAGCTAAACAGAGGGCAGAGTTGTCTATCTCCCCAAGAAGTAGCTGAGAGTGTGCAGAGGTAACCACACAGAGTAAACTGAGACAGAAGGGTAAACTGAGTCTGAGACACTGGTTCCTCCCACCTCAGGCTACCGGGACCGCAGCTATGATCGTCTTTGCCCAGGCCACTGGTCGCCAGAGGTACCCAGTTCCGAGACTGCATATCCCGGGTTGCCCAGAGCTTCAGAGGATCAGGAGGAAACCAGGAGTCCAGAACCAGAGACTCCAGAGGAGCCAGATCTAGCAGCTGAGGCCTCTGAAGGAGCTGAGCCAGAACAGGAAGATGAGATGGATCCTGAACCACAGCAGGAGCCAGAGCCAGAGCCAGAGCCTGAACTGGACCCGGAACCGGAACTGGAGCCGGAACCGGAGCCAGACTTCCAAGCAGAGGATGAATTTGAAGGTGTGGGGCAGCCCAAACCCTATGTGGACAGGTGGAGGGCATGGCTTGTGAAGTGGGGCAGGCCACACTCCTTGACCACTGTTCCCTTCATCTCTAGATAGCTGAAGGCCTGAGTGCTGACCTGCTATTGCCATCTCAAGCCCGAGCCAGACAGGACCTGGGAACCTGCTGGAGCTGCATTTGATGCCGTCAAGGCTCCATCTGGCCTGCTGGAAGTGAATAAACTCCCGAGGGTTGGACTGGACCTGATCTCTCTTCACGATTCTGGCTGTTTGCCCAGGAACTGAGGATGGGTGCATGTCTCTGAGTTCCTGTGACCCGAGCAGCCCTGTGCCCCAGCAAAATGTACTGCCCAGTTCACAGGTCCTTCCTGTACTCAGTAGTCCAAATTGCACCCCAGGGATCCAGACCCATACCCCTAGAGGAACAAGGACCTAACTCCTCGGTCTTGCTTAACCACTCTTTTTCTCTCATGAGCCATTTGCGGGGCCTGTATAGGCACTGGCCCCAAGCTGTGGGCTTGAGGTAGTGAGGAAAGAGGGACTTCTGTCACTTAAAGAAGGCTTAGCACTTATAGCCTTGGGAAGTTAGATAAAAAGAAGGAAACTGAGACCTTGAGTAGATGGAGGCTACACACATCATTGTGAATGCTCTTTTAATTGTTTGGCTTCCCTCTGAACTGGAAGCTCAGTAAGGGTTCTAACCAGAAACTGGTACACACAAGGCAACCTATACATACACGCTGACTAAATGAGTAGGAACTTTCCTGCTGCTTCTCTGAGTCTTACAGGGAAAATTAAGGCCCAGGGAGGGAACAGGGCGGGGCCAACAGCAAATAACTGAGTCTGAAGTGAACCTAGAAGGAACAATCAGTTCTGTACTTCTCCTGGTCCAGGAAGGGGTCAGGACTGGGGACAACAAGCCATAGGGCCTGCCCTTCAGGCTTGATGATGACTACTCCCAGGCTAAGCCAATCACACAGCCCAGGTGTGAGGGTCTGGACAAAGACAGGAATAGTAGAGGACAGTGAAGAGTGAGGGTAGGGTACAGGTAAGCTCTTGGGCTGGACTCACAAGGCCTGAAGCTTCGTGTGTGAGTGTGTGTGTGTGTGTGTATATGTGTGTGCATGCACATGTGTGCGATGAGAATAGGGCTAAGAACAACTGGTACTTTCTAGGAGTGTCCTGAACCTCTCCTTAACCTTCAGGAGCTGCTGCCTCCCAGCTCAATGAAGTAGCACAAATAAGTATGGAGTAAATGCAAAATACTGGAAAGCAAACCCAGCCCAGCTGGATCTCTACTACCTGGACCTCTACCCTTTGCATCTGTGTGACAGCTAGGACCTTAAATTCAAGCAATCACCCCAGAAAATGGATCCCAACCACCACCAGGACCCAGTGAGAGGTAGACAGCATGAATGCTGAAGGAGCACCAAGGGGCCGGGTGGGGGAAGGGAGAGACTGCAGTACTGAATACCCAAAGCCATCTCATGCAAGAACAAGTTTCTATGCCCAAACCACCCCAAATCCCCATCAATGTCATCTCCCCTCTTGTTCCTAGACCTCCCCTCTGTTCAACAGTTTTCCTGACATGCTGCTGCTAGTCCATAGGCCTCAGGAGTGCTAGCAAGGGACAAAAACCTTCTGATATTGCTGCTTGTCCTTCCAGGATGCTCCTGGCCTCCCATGCCCCCAAGAAACACCTAGGCTGTGGCAGCACAAAGAGGACAGCTTCATGTTCTGGGGGCCGATCTGAAGGTCTTTGTCTAGGGCTTCTGCCTGTAGCTGTTAACCAACATCAGTCAGGCAGCAGGCGGCCCAGCTCTGCTTCATCAAGACGGTTGGTGGCCATGATGTGTTCCAGTTGCTGCTGGTAGCGTTCTAAGTCCTGCATGAAGTGGGGTATGCGGGTATTATCCAGTACCCCATAGGGCCTCAAATGATCCACATCCTCATAGGAGACCTGAAGGGAGGAAGCCAAGCCTCAGGGCTAGGCAGAGCCCACTGGCTTTCAGGAAGTTGGTCCCAGCTCTGCTGATGGCTCATGGCCATTTGTTTCTAGGATTCTTCTTTCTCCCTTCCAAATGCACACCTGTGTTGTATAGCTCCAGGCTGTCTTGGGTCCTTGCTCTTTCATCACCTTATCTAAAGCCTCACTCCTTGCTAGCCCAATCAATCCCCTTGCCTCCATACATGGGTATCCAACTGGTTCCTGGATATTTTCCTCATCTCCTCATATCCAACATGCAACTCCTGGATGCCAGCTTATGCCAGTTCATGCCAGCTCCACCTCTTCAATTACCCAGGTCAGGTTCCAGGGAGGGTCTCTGGACTCACCCTCCCACTCAGGATGGTTGCTAAGATAAAGGGGTTCCACTCTGAAGATTTTTTTTTTTTAAATACAAGGTCTTGCTAGATAGCTCAGGCTGGCCCTGAACTATGTAGCCCAGGTTTGCCACAGGTGCATAGTGATCCTCCTGCCTCCGTCTCCCGAATACTGGGGTTACAGTTGTGAGCCACTAGGCCTGGTTTGAGGATCTCTTTAGTCTCTGCCCTTCTCTCCAACCTCATGGCTGTTGCTCAGTCAGGCCAGACAACTATCAGTGCTGTAAGGGTGATGAACCTCTATTTCCTGAACGCTCTTCCCTAGGTCACTATTTCCAATCCACCTCCCATGTGACATCGAGGGAGCCTTCTAAAAGCAAACTTTTTTTTTTTTTTTTTTTTTAACAGGGATTGAACTCGGGTCCTTCTGCTTGCAAGGCAGGCCACCAAATCGCTGAGCTAAATCCCTGGCCCTAAAAGCAAACATTTAAACAAAACAAAAATCTTCTATTTTTTTTTCTTTTTCTTTTTTGGTACCAGGATTGAACTCGGGTCCTTGCACTTGTGAAGCAGTGGCAGAACCACTGAGCTAAATCCCTGGCCCTAAAAGCAAACATCTTTACCACACCTTTACTTAAAGTGCCTCTGCCTTCCCACTGCTTCAGATGATGTCTACTTTCCTCAGCCTTGCATAAATGCCCAGCATGAGGGACTTGGTCCCTGCGCATTTCTCCAGCGTCCTTCTGTAGGCCTTCTTGACTGCTCCCGTGACCTTTGGAATGCAACATTTACACACACACACACACACACACACACACACACACACACACACACTCACCTGCAGGCTAGGTCAAGCACCTGCTCTTTGCTGCCTGTCATTTTATCAGCTTTGCTAACTTCCATCTATTTCCTCCCCACCAGTCAGCACTAACTGGCTGGGGCCTCCAAAGGCTTAGAGACCCTCACCTTGCCCAGCGAGGTCAGCAGTGGGAAATCAATGGTCTGGCGGTGTCGCAGAATGCGCACGATGCCATCCAGGTACACTTGGTCCTTGCTGAAACAGCCTGTGAGCGAGAAGGCGAGAAGGAGGTGAGACTTTGCCCTAGTGCCCAGCCTCACCCCACCCCATCCCAACCCCGCACCACGCAGCTCAGGCCCCTTCCCAGTGCAGCGCTCACCTGGCTTGGAAGTGTCGGTCTGGCCACGCTTGGCGCGCACGCAGTACTCCCAGCGCACGTTGGCGTCCTGCACGTAGCTTGCCAGGTCTTGGAAGAGCTGGCGGAAGGACATGTGTGCGGCACGATGAATAGTGTAGTACAGCAGGGCTGCGCGCCACAGGAAAGGCTGCTTGCGGAACAGCACGCTGTGCAAGCTGGCCAGGCCCTCCTCGGTGGGGTTGGCTGGCCGCAGCCCATACTGCAGCCGGCCCTCAGTGCTGTGCCAAGGCTGCTGCGCATTATTCACACCCCGCAGGTAGTGGGTGCCTGCAGGGAAGGCAAGGGGAAGAGGTGATGCTGGGCGACGGGACATCTGGAGGACATACCAGGCAGATCTCTGGTAGCAACTGTGTCCTCATAACCTCCAAATCACGCTCTTATACAAATTTTCCACAGCTCCAGACAAATTCATACTCACCCAACCCCAGGCGCCATGGAGACCCTCAGGTGAACCCACATCCAAAGACCCATACAGGCTTACATGCATGACTCCTCCCCAATCAGCCCAGAGCCAAACACTCTTTACCTCCCCCAATTCATAGCACCCCAGCCCTCCTAGAGACATTCAAGGAACACACCATCCCGTCCCCACACCCCATGTGCCCATATCAGTCATTTGGGCAGTTATGTTGATGCCCTGAGCAAAACCACTTCTCCCAAGAGCAGCAAGATTCTTGATGAGTAAGGAGACAGAAAAGAATAATGATTAGTATCCTCTTCCCTCCTTCCCAGCTGGCATGTCTCCTCCTAGACTGGGCTCTATGTGCCCACAAGCAGTTCCATTCCTAGGAGCTGGCCTCCCACCGACACTGGATTCTACCTCTGACTGGTGGGATTTTTCCCTCTGGCCTGCCAATACTTCAGCAGCCTGGCCCTCACTGTCAAGGAAATCAGAGGGATTGGAGGGAGAAAAAGATATTCCCCCCACCCCAAAGGAGCAAGAAATGAAAGAGAGCCCAGAGAGTGGGTAGGCATGTTCTGGCCTACCTCTGTGAGGAGAGAGGGAGGAGGTAGCTGCTCAGGTAGGGAAGGGGCCAGTCTTCCAGAGGGAAGGGGGAAAAACAAAGGAGAGGGTTACTGGGTCCCTTGCCACCTCCCCATCCCCAGCATTCAGCCCCCTCTCATCCCTTCCCACCCCCAACCACACCCCCCGCCTGACCTATTTCATGCCGCAGCATGCCCTCCAGCCAGTACTGGCGGGCTCCCCTCCGGACTATTTCATGCCGCAGCATGCCCTCCAGCCAGTACTGGCGGGCTCCCGTCAGGTTGATGGCCAGTGTGGGTCGGCTGTTTTCCACCATCATTACTGCCTGGGACAGCAGGTCCTCACTCAGCTGCACCACAATCTGCAGGTGGTAGTATCCTGAGCCATGGCTAGCAGCCCTGGGGCCAGTGCAGGCAGGCCTGCCCATGCCACAGGGTTGCCAGGCTGGACACTGGCTGGCACATCAACACTTCAATACCCCTGCTCAAAGCCAGCTCCCACCTTCCTGGGGCAGGGGCTGGGGTCGGGATCTGTCTAGTCACCACCTGGCCAGGTGTAGAGCTGAGCCTGGGCCCACCCGATATAAAATCTGACTTAGGGCATAACAGAGGAGGGGCCTTGCAGGCAGGGCAAGCTCACCTCCCCAACGCAGCCCTCCTTCTGCATGTATTTGCGTACAGTGGACCAAATCTGGCACTTGGTCAGAAGCTGGCCGCCGGTGGCAGCCTCAAAGTGTTCGTAGGTGCCAAATTTCTCCAGGACAGCCTCAATGATGCCAACTGCCTGTACATAGGACCATAATAGCTGGGTCAGCCTGGGTCCCTTGGGGGTCAGGGCCAGGGTGTGAGGTGGGCAGGCTGGACTCACCTGATGGATGAACTGTCCAGAGGCCTCACAGTACTTCTCCAGCACAGTTGTAGGCATGGGCTCCTGGTACTCAAACTGTGGATTGTAGGTATAATGGGACTGGAAGAACTTGTCCCGTTCACGGTCCATGTTGGTTGGCCTCAGGGCCACCAACATACAGGGGCTCTTGCCAATACCACTGCCTACATTCTTTTGAGTCTTAGCAATGTGGGGCAGGGAGGCTGCAGATCGCAAGGTGCCACCACCTGGGTCCCGTCCCTGTCCAGGTGGGGCACGACCCTGTGTGCCACGCCTCCGCTGACCAGTACTATTTACAGAGTAAGTGCTCTCACTTCGACGCATGTGGCCACGGTGGCCCAAGTGCAGCTTTGAGAAGGGCTGCTGCTCAGGCTGGGGCTGCAGCACTGAGGGGACTGCCAGAGCCAGGGACTGAGGCCAGGGGTACAAGGGTGGCCCATCTCGGTTGGGCGGCTTCAGCCTACGGTGCAGGGACAGGGAACTGGCAGGTGGGCTGGGAGGTGCCTGTTCATACACCTGAGCTCCCGAGTCCAGCACCATTCTGTCCTGGAGGTCACATCCAGCTGGTTGCTCCAAATCCCCACACTGTTGACCTCTGAGGACACAGAAGGGTATGTGGAGACCAGCATGAGTGGGGTGGTCACAGGAGCAGTAGGCTCTATGATCCACATGAACCCTTCTGGACACTTGGAGGCTGAGGTCTGCTGTCCCCCACCTCCACTGCAGTCCATTCCCTCAGTCAAGTAGCCTGGGCTGAACAAAGCAAAAGGGAGAAGTTGTTTTTTGTTTGGTTTGATTTGACTATGGCTTTTTTTTTTTTTTCCAATACCAGGGATTGAGCTCAGGACCTTGCGCTTGCAAGGCAGGTACAGTGCCACTAAGCTAAATCCCCAGCAGGCTTTGGCTTTATTTGAAATAGGGTCTTGCCTTTTAGTTCAGAATGGCCTTGAACTCATTATGTAGCCCAGGCTGGCCTCGAGGTCACAGCAACCCTCAGCCTCCCAAATGTTGGAATTACAGGCATTAGCCACCATGCCCAGAAAGAGGGCAAGTTTTATATACTAACCTAGATGATGCTTACTAGCCCAGCACTTACCAAGTGTGAGAGCTGGCAGAGTGCAGCCTCAGCTGGCGGGCTGGACCTCAGGTGAGGGGCCTCCAGGGACTGCCTTCTACATGTGGCATCTTCTCAGTCCCACACCACCCCTCCCATCTGCTTCTACCCACATCCCACAGCCCATCAGGCTTCAGTCAGTTTGAACTGTGTGCTTCTTGCTTATACCACTTCCCACCTGAAATGCCCTCTCTCCTCTGGGCCAACTGTTCAAATCCAAGATAGAATCTGCATTTGGAAAGAAGAGGGAAACTAGCACACCCAAGCCAATCTCTGGCCTGTCCTTTGTTTGAGGCATCTTCCCAGTGGTGGTCATCCAAGGCCAGGGTCAGGGCACTTACCCCTGCTCTGTGCAAGGGCTCAGTCCAATCCAATCTCTCCCTAAAGACCGATTGGTGGCCTGAGGCTCAAACCTCCCTTACCTGCTTAGGAACTCAATTTCCCATTTCTCCTTTTTCCTACATCATCAACCTCTTTCTCTCCCCTGTATTCTTTTCATCAGCATGTATACATGCTGTTATTTCTCCATCTTAAAAAACAAAACCTTGAGGGCTGGAGATTTAGCTCAGAGGTGCCAGCATCTGCCTGGCAAGCGCAAGGTCCTGAGTTCAGTTTCGCAAAAAAGAAAGAAAGAAAGAGAAACAAAACCTTGGGCTGGGGATTTAGCTCAGTGGTTCTGGCACCTGCCTTGAAAGCACAAGGACCCAAGTTTGATCCCCAGTACCAAAAACCAAAAACAAAACAAAACAAAAAATATCTTGTGATTCTCCTTGAGATCCTTTAAGAGGTATCTCAAACTGAATATATTATCTACAAAGTTTTCCCCTCATATATAATGGCATGAGTCACGGTCCTCAAATTTCTGCACAAATACCATATTACTAGAAAAGCCACTCTAGCATACCTCTATAAAACAGTAAACCACCTGTCCCCTCCCCACAACAACCGCCACCCCTGGAATTATGGTTCTCTGTAGCAGTTATCATTACCTCAAATATACTGCAGTAAACTTTCTGCTTGTATGGAATATTTGATTGTTATCTGTTTTCTCCTTTCCAATGTTCACAGTTGTGTCCCTGGAACCCAGAATGATGGTACCTGACCCAGAGTAGCTGCTCAATAAGTGAACTCCAGAGCCTTTCTTCTCAGAACTAGAATCTTTCCTACCCAGAACCTTCTTCCTCATCTAGGCCTTATCTTCCCTCTTGCCTTTACCTTGCCTAGTGACCAGCTCCTTGGAAAAAGATTTCAAGACTCAAGCCTCATTTCCCTCACCTAACTGTACACTTTCCTGGACTCCTCATTTGTCTCTAAGCTACCTGGACCAGGCCCTTCCATTTCCACTTCTTTCACTTGACCTACCACCTCTCAATTACCAGAATACGCCTGTTTCTTTCACAGCTTCGCTCCTTACGCCAAGAATGCCCTCGAAATGTCTTCCTGGAGCAAACGCTTAACCATTTCTCAGGATTGAGTTTAGGTCTCACCTCCTCCGGGATGCTTTCCGGGCGTCTAAAGGCCTCTAAAAGGTCCCAGTTCCTCGATTTTTTTTTTTTTTTCACTTCCCTAGGTTATCACCCTCGGAACCCCCACCATCCTCTAGGGCAGGGACGGCTTTGACTCACCCTTATATCCCAAGCACCCAGTAATAGATGCAGAATGAATGAATGCTGGGTGGGGGAGGAGCCCCGACGACAGAAGGCGGGGCCTGGTGACAAGAGGGTGTGGCCTGCACCAATAAGAAACCCCTGGGAGAGGTTAACGTGGATGAAGAGCCAATGGGGACGGAGAGATCCACGAGGGGCGTGACCTACAGCCAATAAGCGGCCAAGGCTAGCAAAGAGCGTGCCCAATGGAGGGCGGGGCCAGAAGACAATGGAAAAAGGGTTTCTAGCAGATCAAAAAGGGTCGCGTTGCGAGCCTTGTCTAGGCTTTTGCAGTAGGATTGAGGAATTAGGTCCGCGTGCCGCGCCCCAACCTGTTCTCTTCTCTTCTTGCCGCTTGCGGTTCCCGTTCCCCAAAGCCAGTCGCCCCTCACCTAGCCCGCGAGAGCAGACGCAGACGTCGCACACACTCGGGCGCGCGCACGCTCACAAGGCGCCCGGATTCTCGTCAATCTCGGCTGCGGCGAGCAGCGAAGACCTCCGTGGGCAGGGCCAGTAAGGGCTGAGTGGGCGGTGTTTGGCATCACGCCACGCCCCGGGGCGGGATGTTGCTTTAGGCCCGCCCCTTCACGAGTTTCCCGACTTCCCCCGCGACTCCCGGAAGGGACCTCGGTGGCGGAGGGCTGAGGCTTGACTACTTGGGGGCGTCCGGGGTGCTCCGGACTATAGTCGAAAAGGGACGATGTTTGGATAGGTGAAGCGAGGATACCTTGGCTCACTAACCTCCACCGGAACTTTTATTTTATACCTCACACCCTGCCTTCTCCAACACAGATACTCAGGCGAACGGGAAGTGCGACTCGCTTTATTCCCCAGAGTTTGGGCGTCAGGAGCAGAGCCCCGAGAAGAGGCAGGAAGAGAGGGAAGGCGTAGGCGCCGGCACGAGGCTGAAGAGCGCAGGGCGGCCCGTGGGGGGTGAGGGCGGCGGGCCAGCC